ACACAGTTGGGAATACTAAAATGGGTATTTCCATTGTTCTCAGGTGTCTTTGAAATATGTTAATGTGGTATTAATTAAAACAAATTCAAAGACATAGTGTAGATTAGTCAGAAATTTTAACTCTTGTTTGATTAAAGATTTAAACTTTTTGAAAAAAAGCGAGAGCTTTCTGTCCAGCTTGCTCCACCCAGATTTGAGAGCTCAGAAATGAATCCAATTACGACATGTAAAAGGAGGCCATTAACAACATGAATCACACCTCATTATTACATTTCCAGAGAGAAATTATAACACAAAATGAAATTTCCTTCCTGATTGGAGAAATATAATTTCAAAGATCTTAAACCCTGAATTTATCCATACTGATAACCCCTTTTGGCAATAGAGAAGTCTTAATTATATGCTAACATTAGTAACTTAGTGAAAGAAAGTGAGCTTTCTTTCTCTCCTAAGGGGAAATATTCTAATTCCAAACTTTCCCTGTTTTTCACTGTCCCCAAATCCCCACGGGTAAACAAGAAATCAAAACAGTTCTGCAACTGCTTCACACTCCAGCACTGGATTTATTGTGAGATCTGATATCAGAGCTTTTATCTTCACTTGTGAGTAGTGTATTTCACCTTTGTAGCATTCAACGCCTTGAGTGACATTAATTGCCCAGATTCCACACATGACTTGCTCTTGCCTACTTCTGCTACCTTCTAAGAAGGTTTTTTTTTTTTTCTGGTATCATCACTGAGTTAACTAGAGGGACATTCTCAACAGATTAAGGTGCTGTTATTGACATTTCTAAATTTACAATATGTTCAGCAACTCAAAGGATGAAAAAAATTAGATAATTGCTGCTCCACATTCCCTTCAGGGTTTTAATTTTCCAAGCCGTAATATATTTTATTAGTTATTTTTGAGGCATTAAAAAACACACACCACTTTCTACTTCCTTTACTTCTAAAGCAAAACTTCTATTTCTCAAAGCTTCCATTTTTTAGTGATTTATCCTAATCCTCCCAAAGGTTTAAGTTTAAAAATATCCAATCTACCTTTGAATTTGCAAATATTTCTTTTCTGTTTTTGACAAGAAAAATACCATATTGCTGGTAGATTTTAAATTATTTTCCTTTTGCTTTGTTTAAATATTTATTCCTTGTACACACTCTTCTATATTCTGCTTTGTCCATTTCTTCAAGAGCCAAGGAGTAGTAGGTCACTCCAAAGCATCTGTTGTGTTTAACAAACAAAACACCTGCCCATTAGCCTCTTCCTGATTGCGGCATTTTTGTACAGGGAATGGACTTTTATAATAGGCTTTGACAAATTGTTTCATCTGGTTTCTTTTTGGTGGATTTGGTCTTTCCTATATCTTCTTCCCACCTTTCCTTAACCTTCACACAGGGCAGAACTGTTTCTCTATGTACAATCACTGAATCCCTTTGAAACTATGAAGTAAGTGATTTCAGTAGAATTCTTCTCTTATCTTTCTAGCTTTTGTTTATCAAGTATATTATCATCTAACTAAGTTGACTCATTATGAACAATAAGTTCCCCAATTGCTCCAATTATTAACGGTTTCCTATGCTTTCAGAGAGAGTCTCAAATGTTTCTTCATCTTGTTCCCTCTCGGGAAGTCAATTCAACCTACTTTATGAAATGGTTTCCCTGTTCTATGCCAGACCAACTGCTATCTAAGTTGCTTATCTAGAACTGGATTGATCTAAATGGTGCACTTAATTAAACTATTTAGATTGTATTTAGGAGTGCCTATTGGAAGTCTTAAAGTCCACTGTCTTATATCTTGACCTAAGATGCTAGGAGGGTTTGATCTCCTTTGATTGCTTTCTTCCTTAGAGTTGAGATCAATTTAGCCATATTACCCTCTATATCAGTGGTTCTTAACCTTTTTTGGCCACGCCCCACCTAAGCATCTCTAAAATCCTGATGTCCCCCTCCACCCCCCGTGACATATAATTCTTATTATTCAAAAAGTGAACTCCTATTCACATGGAGGAAGCCTAAAAGGCCATTAAGGCCTAAACAAGTTTTCAAAGGACATGGCATCCTTGAGAGAGAAAAATAAAGGAATAAAAGGACAGTTGAAGTACTGAGGAAGAAATTGTTAAAAAAATAATATAAAGTGATATGAAAAAATAGCAAATACAGTTTCAAAATATAAGAGAGAACTGAAATGCATAAATATGACACAATATATATTTATATACTGTATATGAGGCATGTAGAACCATAAGAAAACCATAAGAAATGCAAAAACATCACTGTTAATAACTCATTCTCAAATTACCCCCTTAAAAATCAAATTGCCCCCCTATGGGGCATGTGCCCCACGTTGGGAACCACTGCTCTATATCCTCAAACATTTTACTGAGTACTATTCTGCCTCCTTGACATAATTGAAACCCTGAGGACTAATTTCCCCTATAGTATGTTTAAATGGGTATTGTTGTTGTTTTTTACCATATTTCATGAACCTCAAGGTGGAGAAGAGAAGTTGATAATTCTCTATTGCTGCTTCAGGCCATTCTTCCTCTAATTCCCTAGTATTAGTTTGTTGCCATAACTAAGTACCACAGTCGGAGTGACTTAAACAGAACTGTATCTTCTCATAATTCTGGAGGCAAGAAGTTCCAGATCAGGGTGTTGGCAGAGTTGTTTCTTCTGAGGCCTCTATTCTTCATGTATAGATGGCTGTCTTCTCGGTAGATCTTCACATCATCTTCCCTCTGTGGGCATCTGTGACCTAATAGCTTCTTCTCATAGGGGCTTCGGTCAATTGGATTAGGCCCATCCTAATGACCTATTTTAACTTTAATCTCCAAAGACAGCCATATTCTGACATACTGAGGGTTGGAATTTTAACATATAAATTTTGGCATGGAGGGCATTTCAGCCCACAGCATCTTCCTACTCATTCTCACACATTTGAAATCTAAGCTTCTGCCAACATGTTTCTCTCTTGGTTCTTGATATCGGACCTGATTATTCTCCTTTATTTAGCAAAAAAGTAAGCACCTTTTACAAATCTTGCCCTCATTTTGAATAATTTCAGAGTCATATCAATGTCCCACCTTCCAATACTCTGTTTTATACAGTTTTTTTAAAAAAATCCTTTAGCTCCTTTCTTCCAGTCACCCATAACTGTTCTATCCAAAATCTCTGAATTAGATCTCACTCTTCTCTCTTCCACTTTGCTTATTCTACAATTCCCATTTCAATGCTTCCTCAGCATCATTAGAAAACATTTATAACTTTATTTCCCCCAATATTTTAGGTTTCTTTCTCCTTTGTTTTCCCGCTTATCAAAATTAAATTTCATGCATAATAATTTCAGTTGTACTTTTATAAATATACTAAATTCTCTCTCTCTCTTTATCTCTTTTACTATAGTGATATGGTAACTCTTTAACCATAGATGAACCCAGTTATATCTTGTCTGTATCCCAGCACTAAAAGAGCAAATCCAGTGAGTACAAGTTTCACTATAAATGCATGACACTTACCTCTGCATTGCTTGTCAGCCTTACTATATTTCCCTGGCCAATTCATTCATTCATTCATTCATTCATTCAACTATATAAAACTTTTAAAAATTCTTCACAGACTTCAACTCTCTTTATTTCCTTCTCCATCTCTCACCTTATCTTCCACATCACTAAGAAAATAGAAGCACTCATCTCTTTCAGGTCAAACATACCAATCTATGTGGAACACACTGTATCCAACTATGTATGAGATCTCTCTTCTTGTAGATTTCAATGGAGTCTCAAAATTATGGTCTTTCCCCACCTTTCTCCAAATGAAACTCCCTCCTTCCAATGTTACCTATTTCAGTGAATGGTAGTTCTAGCCATATACTATTATAAGCCAGAAAATATTGATATTCCCCTTCTCCTCTCCTCTTTTTTATTCCACTCATAAGCTTTATTGCTTTTATCTTCTAAATATCTTTACTGATTTTGCTCCATATTCTTCACTTCACTATCCTGTTCCTAATTACCAATAAATATGGCTTCTATAAGCACTCTCCTATTAATCTCCTTAACAGCCTCCATTTCTTCACAATGCAATCAGAATAACCTTTTGAAAACACAAATATATTAATGGTACTACCTTTCCTCCCTTGTTTAAAATTCTTTGAAGTTGCCAGTTTTTCTTGGGTTAATGGTGATAAATATCTACATATATGCCTAATATGCAAATTGTCCCTCAGGAATTCGACAGAGGGAATGATCGCTCCCTATAATGTGTGCTGACCACTGTGGGGAGGCGCAGAACAAAGGAAGGCCCTGGCTGGAGCCGGCAGCTGGGGAAGGGAGGCCCTAATCATTGGCCAGGCCTAGGGACCCTACCCATGCATGAATTTCGTGCACTAGGCCTCTAGTAGTGAATATAAGACTCAGCATGGCCTCTCCAGCAACTCTTTCTTACATCATATATCCTTTGCATTTCAGTTCTAATTTTCTACCTCCCTTTAGTTCATTGTACATGCTGGGTCCCTCTTATCACATTTACATCCAATTTCCCTTCTATTCATCTGTCAGTTTCTACTGGTTATGTCTTATGTATCCCAATAAGTATGAAACACTAAGGATATTCTCAATAAATACTTGAAAATTGATAACTAAATAAATGCATGAATGAAGAATTGAATTTTGGGAGTGGAATAATATATATATCAAATTAGTAGGATAATTTCAGGTATAGAAATGATGAGTTTATGTTAATGAAGGAATCTTACAATAGCGAATTTGAATTGCAATGCAGATTTCTCAATGTCAACTTTAATATTCTCTACACCAACATCAAATTAATCAGTATATCATCTCTTTTCTATCTCTTTTGATTTACTTTGCATCAATTTACTTCTCTCTATCTCTAGAATAATGGTTTTAATTCAAGACACTATTCTTTTCATCTTATTTTCTAGTCTTATTTTTCCATTTTTTCAAATTTTCAGAGTGATCTTATTAAAATACAAAACATATCAAAAAAAGGGTTTCGTTGTGAGTGCCACACGTAGGGCAGCTTGATTGCTCTACATGCTGAATCGACATCAAGAGATTTCAAAGGCATAATTTTTGGTATCTGGGCAGCTGGTGATCATTGGTCCTGGTGCCCGAAAAAAAATAATAAACAAAACATATCAAGCTACTTCACAGCTTATGTACCCTCAGTGTCTTCCTATTGTCTTCAGGATAAAATCTAAAAGCCCTAGGGATGGCCCCTCCTCTCCATCTTTCCTGGGATCTCTTCCTTGATTAATTATCTTATATTGAAATTGCCTGTTTTCTCATCTGTTTTCCTCTCTGGCTTGTTGACTCTTTATGCTTATTCACCACAGCCAGCACAGAAACATGACACATCATAGATGCTCCACAAACCTTTACAAAATAAATTGACCATGAATTAATACATTTAAGATGTTTCAAAGTAGTAAAAAGCATTATTATGGAACATTGAGGTTTTCTAGTTTTTTTTCAATATTGTAATAAATAGTGCTCTGCTCATTGATAGCCTTTATTGGTGCAATTAATTAACACCAATAAACCAGTGAATTAACATTGATCTTAAATTTATGTTCTTGGTTGCCCCAAACCTACTCTTTGTCGAATGACGAGCAATAAGGCATATTCTCTGTGCCCTTAAATCAAGCTAAAGTTGATTTTCCTTGAGTTTAAAAGCCTGATGGTCTAATAACATGTCTTCACATGTTAGTGGAATGCCTTAGGAGTTACTCAGTAATTGTGTATTGAATAAAATTTAAAAATGAATAAATGAACTAAGTGAGCTCTGTCTTAGATTTATATATAAATTTTAAAATGTGAAAAGATGAGTCAAATTCAAAAGTTTTTGCTTATTTTAGATGTTTATATGATTCTTTTTATTTCCTATGTTTATCATTTGCTATCCACAAGGTAGAATATGCCATCAACATTTTCTAATTCACAATTTTCCTTTATCTTTTTGGAGATATTTGAACTTGAAGAAGAAGAGATGGTCCTTAGTTCTTAAATCATTTAAAAGTATTGACAAGAATTGTATAATTCTGTTAAAGCGTGCAAATAGAATTAGTGGTCACATATGTGAGGAAGGGGCTGCTAGATTTAAAAAATAACAGGTTTTTTTTTTCTGCTTAATAAAGTGTTTTTTTTTCTTGGAATAAACACACACATAGTAATATATAAATTAAAGTCAATGTCCTGCTAGTAATTCCAACTCAAAATAAAATGAAAGAAATTTATATCCCAGAATCTATACTGAGAAATTATTTCAGAAAACAAAAATTTGAAGTGTATGAGTACTTTGTCTTCTCTGACATAACACTTACCTTGGTCTTCACAAGTCTGCTCCAGTGGCCAGACTGCATTTTCAAAATCTAATGTTGGGAGTTCAAATCCTGATCTCTAACTCTCTATTTTGGATTGCCATTATCATTTTATTTGAAATCTTGACATTTTGATATTTGTTATACAAATGTCCAATACTTTAAAGTTATCTTTTATACAGTTAAATATTACTATGGTATAAATCTACCAAGAAATTTCAAAATTAATACAACTTTGAGAAGACTACATTTATATTTATGGGTGAATTGAAAATTAATCACGTGACGGAGTATGCAAATAAAATATATTACTTTGCATTTTGAAGTATCACAATGTAAAAGAACAAGTCCCAAGAAGAAAACAACCACCTATTATCCATTTATTTTAAATTTTCATTAAAGTGTTATAAGAGAAAATAGAAATAATTTATTATTTTTATAGATAAAGATATTAAAACTACAGAAATAAGCTCAGGCTGAGTCTAGTTAAGATGGACTATTTTAATAGGTGGCCATGAGAGTAATGGGTGGTTGGCAATGTGAAAAGGATACCAATAGATTGAAAAAAAGACTGATAAGCAGATAACAATATATGAAAAGAATAATATTCAACAATAAAAAATAACATATGAGAAACATTTACTACAATCAAATATCACTTGAAAAAATTACAAAATCACTAATGGAATATGAAACAGTAAAATTACTGCTTTATTTTCAGCTACATAATTATTTTTTTGGTACGGCGAAAATGACTTATTCAGTGGTTCTTGAATAAAGAAATACAAGCAGATTTCTCAAACCAGAACAATGAGGGATGAGGGGGTGAGGTAGGGAATGCTGGAGGATATAAGAGGGTGGATTTGTGCCATATGCTCTAATTTGGATTTGGACAGCTTTTTGGATGTCTTTGGTAATAAACAGGATTTCTGCTTTTTGTCTTCATGATGTGGGGTTTACATTTTTTGGGGGGAAAAAACTCTACTAGTTTAAGGAAACAAATGAAAGACCTTCTGGTTTGAATATTTATTTTAATGAGAAGAAAACCCATTTGGATGAGAAAGGTGAAGAAAAAGCAAGTTTACGTTCCCCTGATGTGCTCTATGATCACGTCTGTCTTACCCAGCTCTAATTTTCTTTGATTTTAACTCATCTGTATGACCAGACATCTGTGAGTATTTATGCCTTTTTTGGTTATGTGCTGTCCCATTCTGGCTATCCATCAAATCCAGAACAGACTTCCCAGCAATGTTTTGTACAAAATGTAGAGTAGAATGATAACTGATTAGCATTACGTGATAAATGGACATTCTTCAGCTGAAACTATAAAGTGCAAAACAGCTGAGACAACATATGAGCAGGAAATATAGTGCACAGTCTGTCTCTTGGTTCCTGTTCACACAGCTAATTTTTTTACTGCTACAATTCAAAGCTATATACAGCTCAGCCACTGTATATTCTAGCCAACAGATCTAAAAAATGGGATAATGCCATTTTGTCTGCACAGATTTGGGGGAAGAAATGTTGGTGACATATTACTAGCATGATATGTTTCTTGTTGGCAAATAGAAAAAGGTAAGAGTCAAGGTTCTGATTTCAAATCTTCTGCTAGAATTACTGAAGGACATAGCTCCCCTTAAGTAAATGCTCTAGGACCAAGTCTTATGGTATTTTATTCTCTCAACTCGGATTAATTTCTTGATGAATCACTGAAATAGAAAGGTAAGATTTACAAACCAAAGGCCTACAGAGTAAACGAGAAAGTGAGACTGGGTGGGGGCTGAGGTGTGAACTCCTGCTCTATTTAAGGGTCTCAGCTACTCACCACCACCTAATTGTTTCTCTGTACTAATGAGTGGACTAGTGTTTCCAAATCTTCCATTTTTTTCCCCCAAGAAGTTACAAATTCATATTTTTGAAATTCTGTTTCCTAATTTGAAAGTTTATATATTTTTTCTTTTAAACACAGTGGGCACTAAGTGTCAACTCTTGAAGAAGTTTAATTTATAGGCTGCTGGTTTTTAACCTCCATCTTAAATATTTTAAAGAATCTCAGTTATATAGTACTAACAAGAGCTGACAATTTAATATGTAGTTAAACATATACCAAGCAACTATCAAAGTTTAAGCATAAGTTTTACATTACATTGTATTTATTACCACCTGTCTTGGTTGATTTATTAAGTCATCAGTGTATAATAAACTATTAAATCAAATAGTAGCCTATTACAATACTTTTTCATCAATTAGTACTTTATCAATTTAGCTGGAAGAATCCCAATAAATTTTCTTATCCAATTCACTCACTGCATATATGAAAACAATTAGAGTCAACTATCAGGTGACGAGACCAAAGTATTACAGCAAACTACAATAAGCAATGCCTCGGGCCTGACTGCTTTTTTAATGACATCTGGCTTCTTAATTGTAGTAATGGGAACAAGGGCTATATCATTACTGACTTAGCACCAATTGTTCCATTAAGTTTTTCTGTTTATAATAATAAAACAAGGATTAAATTAGGGTTGCTATAGCACCAACTGTGAATAGCACCAACTGTGAAGAGGAGTTTTCTTGTTTTTCCTTTTCAAATACAAACAAAAGTTTATTTACGAAGTAACAGAGGTAGAAGAAGGGAAAGGCACAGACATGCTCAAGAGAGAAAGAGAGAGAGAGAGAGGGAGAGAGAGAGAACAAGTCCTTCATCTTAAGAGCTTTTATCTGGTTTCCAAAGGCAGGGATTTTAGGGGAGGTCTTGGAGGAAGATCTCAATGGAATATTCATCAGCTTTCCAGGTGTGTGTCCTTTTAGGGTTGTGGTCTCTACCGGTAGGTGAGTAGCAGTGTGGGGGTCATTAGTTATTGTAGCAGGTCCTGATGTCAGCCATGGTGTCACCTCTCCTGGTTTTGCTGCTTTCCTGAACCTGGAGCTCAAACACAACTGAGGCCTAGATGTTTTCTCTAGGGCTTCATGCTTAAGAAAGTGGTCCTGCAAGGGCCCATATGGAAGTCCTATAAAGCTATTCTCTGGCCTCCTTTTTCCCTGCCACATGACTAGCAACATGCCAGGGAAGAAAAGGTCAGGGGAGTGTCAGAACCTCAGAACCCGCTATATGAAAGGTCTGGGGTCTAAACCCCATGACCATCAATATGCTAGGGGAGGGAAGATCACCCAGGGGACCAGGTTCCACCCTACAATACTTGTGTTTAGTTTGCCTGTTGCTAGGTACCCAGGCTTTCTGCCCTCGGGACCTCCTGTACTTGGCCTAGCCTTAAGCAAATAGCCTAAGGCAGTGTCAGGGAGCATATTTATACCCTCATTAAAAAAACTCACCATTAAAAAAAAAAGAAATTAAAAAAACAAAAACAAGCAAAAAACCCTCACTACTTTTAAGAACTTTAGGTAAGTTCATTATAATCAGACCCTAAGAGGAAAAGGATCATTTCTTTGGTATGATAAATACATTTTTTTAAAAAGTAATAAACTGAATTCTTGCTAATTTAGTTTAAGTTATTTTTTATTAAAAGTTATACAACTGAATATTTTTCAATAACATTTTTTTATTCCATTGATTTGAGAGAGAGAAAGAAACATCGACTTGCTGTTCTACCCATTCATACTAACCTTTTTAGCTCGTCAAAATTGGAAATATTTCAGGTTAAAAAATTGCTCTGTATAATTAGTATTTATTTTGCTTAAGAGATTAAACAAGTCATATTTTTTGTCAGAGTGGTCCATTCATTAATGTCTAAAATCTAATAACTATGTCAAAGCTTAAACATTTCTAATTCTTAT